ATATTTTATTTCGATCAAGTAAATATTACTTGACTCAACTAAAAATTTGCTGAGGAGTATTGGAGTAACTATTTACTTGAATCAAATACTTTTTTTCTGTGTACAAGTGATTAGTTACCGTCGTTTTCTCTATGTTGAATTCTTTTCTAGGGGGGAATTTGCTTCAGAATTATTTAATATCCAATCATCTCAATATTCTATTTGCTTATCTATCGAATATTAGATCATTCTGAAATAAATCTATCATTAAGATTCAACAACAACGCATCAAGGTAGGACAATAGCTGGTACAGTATCGTTTCTCAAAATTCTCCATTGATCTGTCCCTTAAATTCTTCAGAATTTGCAGGGTTAATATAAAAGCAAAATTTCAGTTCGGGATTCTCAATCTCACTCTTCAATACAGAGGAGTATTTTGCATTTGAATATATATACTTCTCGCTGATTGTTCGTACTTAGCACGATGTGATATGCGCGATCACGCAGGATGTCGGGGGGATCGTATACGTTCATTTCGTTTAACTTCGTACGCTTATGATACGATTCGCCCGGGTTTTCGCGGATGATGCGTAGACTTTTATCGGGCCGACAGGGGTTTGAGTTATGAATTCTTAAGCGGTTGAGAACGTTGTGCGTGACAGTGCGATCGTAAAGTTCTAGATATCTATTATTCGCCTTTTGGCCCTTAACATCGTGGATCGCCTCGACTTATAACTCGTTTATTTCCTCACAACGACGAACCATCACCAGTTTCGTCCTTTCAACCATTTTACCGAGGATTCGCTCTCGCGTATCTCCATACTCGCAGCGTCGCACACCGTTTCTTCACTCTCGTCGTGATCGTTTCAACGCATAAGTATAACGACTGAATACTTTAATGTCGATACGTATAATCAATCCTTTTTGCAGAATCCTGTCTCTCAGGAAAGACCGGTATTCGCGGACAATTAGCAACGTAAACGTAATATAAATAGCAAAGATCCGGTTTTCATCCGCGTCCATTTCGCGTTCGATAAAACGGAATCAATTTAAAACTGGATTCTTCTTGCAGAATTCTCGCAAACACGAGACAAATTCTTGAGATGCATGCGCGTGTGCTACCTAGATGTTGTAGAAATGTATCCAGCTCCGACTAGACTGATCGTGTTAAGTTTCACTTACCGTTCGCGCAGAACGCGATCTCGATTCGACGCGCAACACAAAGATCCGCATGACAATTTACACCACTGCTTGACGAAATCAGAAACTTCCATTGAAGTCCGAATGTTTCCATTGAAGTGTCAGGTGATAGACGACGATAGATCGCCGTTCGAAGCCTCGTCAATTAGCGAGCGACGTCAATTAACGTTGACGATTCTTTCGCGATTTCTTTCGGGCGGTAACTCCTTCTTAAACGATGTGCAAAAGGAAGAAAGAAAAGAAAGATCTATCCGACGTCTTGTATCTCTCTCTTACATGTAATTATGTATAATTCGCGGGAATGCAAAACTGCGCGTCGATGTCGTGTACATAGGTGTAAAGTTGCGTCGTTTATAGATGTTACATTTCTGTCGCGGCACCTAGATGTCGTAGGAACATCGTAATCCTGCCCCGACTACTAGACTGATCGTGTTAAGTTCTACTTACGATTTACGTGCAATGCGATCTCGACTCGACGCGCGACAAAGAGGTCCACGATTGTCGATTACACGTCGGTACTAGGCGGAAAACGCGGAACGTCGCGTGTATCCGTGAGAACGTTATTTAACGGAAACCTGTCGCCGTCTGAAGCCCCGTCAATTAACGAATAAGCGATTTCTCTCGCGGCGGCAGTTTCCCCCTAAATGGCATAAGAAAGAAGAGATATATACGACGTCTTATATATATATATATAAAATACATATACATATTACATGTATCTAATATATATGTATGTATATATTGATATGTATTACAATATGTGACATATGATATACATTGTTAAAAAGAAGAAAAATACTTCTTCTTGTTGACAATGGCACATTATAATACATATCGTGTATGTATCATGTATTACATATATTTAATATGTAATATAAGTAATTAATGTATAATCCAGAAAGGTGCAATTACGCGTCGACGTCGTGTATATAGATGTAAAGTTGTGTCATTTAGATATTACATTTTCGTCGCGATCAGTTCGATCGTCTCGTTATCATATATTTAATCGATGTGACTCGCTCGTCGGCAGAAACTTATAAAGAGCGGCAGTAACATTGATATGAAGCAGACCTTCTTCGTTGTACAGGGTTTCATTTGCGACATTGACCTTTCGAGACAATCGACGAAGTCAAATATGTCACGGATCTTCCGGTCGCGGTTTCACGGTATTTTCCCTCTTTCTCTCTCTTTCCTTTCCTCCTCTTTCTCCTCTTTCTCTTTCTCTCTATCTTTCTCTATCTCTATCTATCTATCTATCTATCTCTTTCTGTCGTAAGATCCGTAAAGTTTCTCGTTTTTACGAGAAGATCTTCCAATATTGTGTTGTTTTTTTACACACAAATATATATATATATATATATAATGTATACTATATATATATATATATATATATATAGTTAGTTTGTATTATAACGTATATTTTATTGCGGAGATAATTTTGCATCAAGATACTTCGACGCGGAGGCGATTGTTTTTAATATGCATAGCTCGACACGGAATCACTGTTTCTCTCGCGAATGTATTATTTATCTCCTGCCCAATTACCTTCGTAAATTCTACCGAAATCGAATCGTTCGCATGCAACTTGATTTATAACTAAATGAATAAATAAATAATTTACTTTCTCGAGTAAGTGATTGGCAGTGTCTCTGAGGCAGAAAGTCTCATTCACTCGCTGTACTGCAGATTCCTGCCGCAATCTGTATCGTGTTATGCGCAAATTACCGAATGTAGTTGTAGGACATGTAACACGTACACAGACACACACGAAACGCCGGACGAATCGTTTCTGTTGTACTTTGCATTCTGGAAATAAAGCCATCATGTGGAAATAGCACGGATGTGTGTCTTTGGGGCCGAGAGCGTGCACGTTCAGTTTTCGCTGTATGGATCTTCTGCGAACCCTTCGACCGACGATGCGATCATATTACGACATAACGAATGTCCCATAAAACGCGATGAAAAATGATTTTCACGTCCTCCCGTTCGCGGGATTTCCTACGACCGGTCGTCTGCAAATCGTAAAGCGGCAGCGCGCTTGTTCATTGGACGCGATGGGACGAAATCCGAACGGAAAGATTTCGCTGCGTGAGATATTCTGTCTTTCTCTCTCTCTCTCTCTCTCTCTTTCTCGGAGGAGGAGGAAGAGGAGGAAGAAGAAGAGGAAGAATCTCGGGGTGGTCTCGAAATTTCGGAATCTCGTCGTAACGAAGTTTCGCCTCGTTGAGGAACGTAACGAGAAGATACTCCCATATACGTGATCGGTACGTCGGCTCGAAACTTGCGTCGAGCGACGTGCAGGTGACAACGGTTCCACGAGTCATCGACTTGTCGCGCATGACGTACCACACAGGTCTCCCTGCAGGTATTAGGCTGGAGTCGCGCATGCGACCCACATCCGATTAATGGTGTGCGATCGAAAGGAATATACATGATTGTCGGTTCACTGCACATAACATGCGATTGGCAGCAAATGTCGAGGCCATGAACTTCTGAGCCCGAGATAGGCTCGCAATCAATTCGATCGAACTAGGTTCCGTCCCGACCACGTTGTGCATGAATATTGAATATTTTTTGTACATGTACACTCTGTTCTTTCGATTTCATTTGGAAATTTTTCACGTCTATTACTTTGCTGTTATTCGTTATGCCGTCGTATCCACAGTTCGCAGTAGCATGGCTGCTCCGAGAGTAATATTACATAATATCATGTATGTTGTCATATTTTTCTCGTGATTGATGTCTCTTTCTCTCTCTTTTTCTTTCTTTCTATATATTTTTCTCTCTTTCTTCCTTCCTTCTACTTGTTTGCAACTTTTACGTGTGCGTTGTATTTTTTTTCTCATTTTATTTTGTTTCATCCTTTTTTGATTGCTGTTGCTACTCGTGTTGTTCACTTCGGACCCGAGTGAGTGAGTGGAAAAGTAGATAGAGAAATGAGAGTGAGACGAGATTTGTTCCATGAGTGTAATGAAGTAGCTCGCTACTTATGTGCGATTTTTCTCGACGTCCACATGCTCTTTTCTCTTTTTAACATCGAAGACACCTTTGTACTCGCGCACCGCGATCCACGACGAGACGAGTTTGCCGTGCTCACGCTACGGTGTATATGTAACGACTGTAAAATATCGTAATCGTCGGTTCTCAAAAAGTCCGAAAGCAGTATTAATGCAGTTGCTCTCTTTACTGCATTAATTAATTAACGATTAAGCATGATAACACGGATTCACGAAATTCACGCATTCGTCAGTACCTAGAGATCCCACAAAGAGTATCCGAGATCTCTTTTTATCAGTTACACTCCTTCAAATTTCAGTCACACACCCACACACACACACACGCACACACACACACGTATACACGCACAAGCGTATATTCACAGTGCTGTACGCTCGCGAAAATGCAACCAAATAGTCGATTAATTAATTTTAATTAATCCGCACAAGGAAGACTCCTCATTGGGAAATAACACCGCGTAGTCGCGCGAAATCGACGAGAGACGAGAAATGCGTCCCGTCGCGGATCGCCGGGCCGCTCTCTCGCCGAGCCCGATCGGCATTCGTGCAGTCGCGAACCAATTCGGTGGTGCGTCGCGCACCAAAAGGCAAATAAAAAAAAAAAGGCAAGTAACAAGCACACGGAGAAAAACGGAAAAAAGGCAAAAAACAAATCCTTCTGTACATATGCGTACACATATATGTACACACGTAGGCTCCCTCGAGAGATAAGAGAGCAAAAGCGCGAGAGAAAACAACCAGGGCGCAGCGGCGCGCGCGCGCTGCTGCTGCTGCGGCATGTAGAAACGTTTGTGTCTGATTTAGATGCACGCACGGTGATCATCGGACAGCCGTCGCACTCGTGCAAACTCTGCGGTAAAGCGTTTTGGAATCGGGACTCGATGTATAAACACATGAATATGCACAAGGGCACGACCCAGTGCCCGGTGTGCCACAAAGTGCTCAGCCGCACCACGCACATGAAGCGCCACTTGAAGAACCGCCACGGCGTCGAGATCACCGCCTTCGCTAACACCGCTGCCACCACCGCCGTCGCCGCTTCCACCGCAGCCGCCGCCGCCGCCTCGGTCGCCACCTCCGCCGCCAACCCGCCGGGGACCGGCGGCGTCGAGACGCCGGCGCCGATCCCTGTGCCATCAACCGCGACGATCGACCAGCAGAACGCCGCCGGCAGCCCCGCGGACATCGACGCAGCCACTACCTACACGACGATACGCATCAGGGAGAGCAGCGTGGAAAGGATCACCTCTAGTCCTATTCCTTAGTGCGAAGACAGCCCGCCAAAGAACGACTAGTCCCGTCGACGCGAAAAGAGGATAGATCCTCCGGCGATCCTCGTCCTCCCGTCGCCTCCGTTGCCGGGTCGCGATTAATACGTGGTCTCGGAGAAGATGCCCCGTGTCTTTTAATTATAGGTTTGAAGTTTCGAAAATATGCCCGTTTTTCTCCCAATTTTTCCGCGGATTTCTGCGGCTTCTGTTTAAAGGACACAAAAATTCGTTAAAAAAAATTCGCATGTGTTAAAGTCTGCTGCGTTTACCTTTTTTTTTTAGAGTATACATAGTACTCTTTTAGAGTATACGCAGAGATTAGTGTAAATCGGTTCACTGAAATTTTTGCGTCACTTTAACATGAGATTATGTTAAAAAGTACACAAATATATGTTGAATTAGCGTATTTATCTTGTTAATGTAACACAAAAATTTCAGTGGATCGTTATTTACACTAAATTTTTTATTGTGTAAGAAACCAAAAAAATCCACGGAAAAACTGGAAAAACGGGGTTTTTCGAAACTTTAAAACCGTACTTTTATTTTTTCTCTCCCTCAAACGGTCATCCCCGCGTCTCGGTTGCGCCCGCCGCGATCGCGTTCGGGATTCTCTCGAAGGGAAATTCGTGAGACCGTCGCCTTCACCGCCGAAGACGCGAGACTTTTATGTCGATAAAATATTGAATTTATGTTGAAACAGCGCGAGAGAGTAGTACGGTGTTCTTGCGCGTGTTTTATCTTTAATTAATTGGTCCCGGTTGATTGACGAATTTTTATTCAGAGGTCGATGGAAATTATTCGCACAGTAAAAAGTTTTGTGTCGGGAACGATCCACTGAAATTTTAGGTTACTTTAACCTGAGGAATATTTGTGTGCTTTTTAACACAATCCCCGTGTTAAAGTAACAAAAGATTTTAGTGGACCGTTTTTAACATATAAAATTTTTTCCCGTGCGCTTTTGGCGACGCGCTCTCGTTCAAGCAGTCTCACGGTCTCACGGGCGGCCGCAGAACGAGTAGAAACAGTCGCGATACGGTACGGGCCGCAAGTGGAAGCGTCGCGAGCAAGTCGGCCAGCGAAGGAAGAGAACGGATCGCGAACGGGGAATTGTTGTTATTGTTGTCTTTTTCGTTGGTATACAACGCAGTCGCGATCGAGACCCGTGACACAGTGCCTCATGGAGGAGCACAAGACGTTTTTTTACGTTTTGATCGAGATACGCTAAAACGGGCCAAAGATTTCGTCGCCGTTCCACCTTGTCCTTGCCGCGGAACGGCGGACGTCGTCGTCGTTGATTGTTAATCGCAATTCTAAGAGGTAGCATAGCATATACCGCAGGGCGCATATTATATATTTATTGCGAGTTATGCATAGTTATATGCATAGGATATTTAAACGGTGTCATATATCGAGGTAATTTTATCGAGCGATCGGACGGAGGGATACGACTTGCGTGCCATATTTTTCGTTTCGTGTTCCTCAAGTTTAATCGTTTCGTTCCGTGTTCCTCGAGTTTAATCGTTCCGCGACGCAGTCCGATCGGCCGCGCAAGAATCACTTACCGTGTCAAACACGCGATCGCGCAACGACCGAATGGATAAAATGAGGAAGAATCGCGACCGACATGATCGAACGGCATCGTCGAGCGTCGGGTCATCTATCCTGCTCTGGAGAGTCGTCGACGGGGAAAAATTATATTATGCCTGTCTTAAGAAAAAAAAAAAACTTCACACCCTAGTCATTCATACACATACATATATGTGTATATATATATGTATCTATATGTGTATATGCACATAAGAAAAGAGACACGTGAATCATTCTCAGACACGCATATGTACGTACAAGCACACACACATATACACGTATACACACACACACAAATACATACACGCACACACTTCACGAACTGAGCCACACGTACACGCGTACAAAGACACATTTTTGTAACCAAAGACACGAAGAGGGAAAGCGGAAACGATTTATTTTATCTAGTCAAATCAGTTCAGTACTTAATAGCGTAAGGAGGAATGTGCATTTTTTTCGTGTGACGATGATGCGAAATCGACGGGAAATCGTGTGATGATGCGAAATCGACGGGGAAATTCTCCGTTTGATCGCCGGGCCAATTGATCGATCGATCTGTCGGATGAAGACCGGCGATCGGCGTTTGATCGTGGTAGAATTGCTGACGCAATGGATTTATTCGTCACCCCCATCACTTTTACGAGCGTCCTTAACAGTTTCATCGATGAAAGTGGCAGCGAGTCATTTCCATATGCTTGCCTCAATACACGTGGTTGTATATATGACTAGCCATTCCCCAGATCGAGAGTTATTAGAAATATTTTTCCGGAAACCTAGGTAATCACACCAGACTATTATTTAGTCGAAGAGAGACGGCAACGATGCATCCGAGCAGCTGTGACACTTTGACAGCTTGACGTTTTGTTTGCATTCGTAAGGAGGATTATATTTTCATGTGTTACATGTAATCAAGAGAAAAACGCCAATGTTATAATTTATCACTCTTAATATTAAAATACTATTGCGGCGACTGAAAAGGAATAAAACGTGGGGTCTAGCATAATGAAAATGGGATTAATCTGGATTCTTAATCCAGCAATCAATAGTAGTATTATATCAATGTTATTAAGTTGTTATTATGATGTTATTACTTACTACACAGCATTGTTATCCTCCTCAATCATTTCCAAATACACATTAGCTTTAATCGCATCACTTTCCTCTTAATTATATGTCACACACGAGAATATAATTCTCTTTACGAGTGCAAACGGAACGTCAAGATGAACCGACTGATCAACAGTCACGATACATGACTGTTTAGCAACAGATGGAAGAAAATTTTTGGTAACTCTCGATCTGGGAAATGGTTAGGCACATGTGCAACTGAGTGTGCGTTCGCGTTATGATTTTTAATTTTATATAATTCTTGTGCGTACACATATTTTATTACATTTTGTATCTTACGCATCACATCGACGATTGCCTCCGTATCTACCCGTTTTTACCACGATCGAGAAGCGACGTGATAACGTACGATTAGTCGTTCTGTGCCATTTATGATTATCTTTTAGTTGGACGCGTCGACAGTTTTCACCGCCTTTCTGCATACGACGTATAGGATAGGTTGAATTCTCTCGGTTGCCGTACGTCGACGCGTTTCAATGTTTCGCGGGATTCTTTTTCTTCTTTCTTTTTTAAATCGAACGCAGATCGCGAGGCACGATCCGCGTTGATGATATTACGCATACTCACGTGCCCTAGTTTTTAAGCTCAGAGACTTGCCAAAAAAAAATATATTTAATATATCTAATAATATATAATATTTAGCATATATTGAATTTTTTTCTTTTCTTAGTTTTAGCCCACGACGGGTGTACAATTAGGGGAATTACCGTAGTATGCAGTATCGCGTGTTATTATTATTATTATTATCTTTCTTTTGTTTATTTTTGTTGTTATTGTTTGTTTCCCATTTCTTTTTTCTTTTTAATCAGCTCCGACTTCGTGACTACATCCAATGCACGATTATGCGCTAGAGAGGATTCTCACATCGCCCCATCTTCAAATAATGTCTCGGAGCTCATCGATAGTCACTCATCCCTTATGTTATCGCGATGACTTTTACGTTAAATTCTTAAATAATGAAGATTTGACAAGAATATACATACACATAGCTACGTTTGCGTAACGACGAGCAGTTTTATTGATTCAAACATTACACTACCGTCCATAAGTCCGCAAATATGGGTAAAAATCACGTAAAACTGCATAAGATTATTTGAAAAATAAAATAATATATTATTACATATATATACATATATATATATATATATAAATATTTATATATTTATATAGTTTATCTCTATGAAAAATAATAATATATATAACAATTTTAAAGGGTTACTATCTTACAGTTATATATCTATGAACTTATGGACAGTATTGTACGTGCGTTGAATGTAAAAATGCAACTTTTAATCGAATAGGAGAATAATCGATCGTGATTGGTCAGTTTCTTAGGACTTAAAGCTTATTACACTTATTGTAGATCCGGTCTCGCACTTCGCGCGTGAATAGGTTTAATCGGCGGGAGATTCAATTATCGGGTATATCGTGAAAAGCGCGTGCCGTACGACGCGCCCAGTGACTATCGATAAGTACAAGTAATCCTTCTTCGTAGAGAGAAAGAGAGGCTACTATTCGTTTTTATTGAACGATTATTATACCCCACCCGCAATGTATGATCTCTTTCGTTCGAGAACGGTGTTCGCCAACGAAGTCGTAGCGAGACGTAACTGCGACGGACCGACGCTGGTCTGTGAACGGGAACGCAACTTAGTGCAATTACAACTAGTTCAATTATTCCAACTTGTAGATGTACGACGTTAGATTATGCTTCTTCGGGGCAAATTATTCACTCTCTCACGCTCCAACGCAACGAGACGAACGGGGGCGAGCGCGTTTTCCTCCAAGTCAGCCTGAGGAAACTTCACTTCGAGTTACGCAGGACATCTTCGACCTTTCAGTCGTGGAACCTTCGACGGCAGTTTACGGTCGATTTTTTCTTTAAAGGACGTCTCGTCGAAGATACCTGTCGCGGTTGTTCAAGACGTCGACGTTTCATCGTGCTCGATAATTGAGTGTCGCGCGAGATTAAATTGGCAAACGAGATTACATCGGGTTTTTATTCGCGAAGCTTCGTTCAAAATCAAATCGAGCTTTAAACGCTGACATTGAATTCTTTCTTAAGTTACACTCGGTATCTCCGCGACTGAAAGGTAAATTCCAGTAAATTGAAAACGTCCTGTTTTAATAAATCTACTAGGAACATATAGTAAACCGAAGGAGGGACATTTCGAAGAAATTTTATTGTCGCACGAAAGAACTGTGTTTCGTTAGAACTGTGTATCGCGGATCGCGGTGAGATTCGGTTTAACGTGGCATTAAACCAGTTTGCCATGGTGGTTGCATCATTCGCACGTTAGTCTGAACGTTGCAGAACGGTGCGTCGCGTGCGGGTGAGCCGCGGTTCGGACGCTGTTAACGTTAATTTATTTGTTTTTACATACAATTTTCTTTTACCTAAGTTACCTTACGGTGTCGCTTGTTTTAAGTTCTTTTTCGAGAAAAAAAAGAGATATATATATATATATTATATACATACTTGTATAATATATGTGCACACACGCGCGCGAAAAGTGTAATAAAGAAAAAAAATTATATACATATATATTTATCTCCCCGCGTTTTATTTATATACACATACATACGCATGCACGCATATGTTGTGTGCGTATGTGTAATTAGTCAAATGAGACGGTGCTTATAGCCGTGTGTGATACGTTGTGTATGCACACGCAAGCACCCACCTGCGCGTACACCAAAAACATGAGGCAACACTATTTTGTTACGAGAGAGAGAGAGAGAGAGAGAGAGAGAGAGAGAGAGAGAGAGAGAGAGAGAGAGANCGAATGTGCACATTCCTCGGATTGCCACGAATTGATAAGAGATAAGTACAAGACCGCTATTAATTAATTGTCCTTTAGGAACGAATTGATATTCCCTTAGTTCGTTATTTATAAAAGAAGAAAGAGACGAGTCATATATATGTATACATAAAAATAATATGAAATAATAATATATCAATTACGTAACCTCCTATGTTTGGCTTATGCAGGCTAATAATGTAAGTGGACATATGTGTGAATAAAGTTGCAAAGAAAGAAAAAAAGGAAAAAAAAACAACAAGAAACACACGTAAATATTCCAACCGTGAGTGAGACACTCTCTCCTCTTTCCTTCATGAAAAAAAAAAAGAGAGAAAAAAAAGAGCGCCTCTTCGGTTTCCCTCGTGTATCGCGTATATACTTCTTTATATGTATACTCTAGATTCACGCCGCTTTGGATCCTCAACTGTCCCAAGTTGATTTGTTCCTTGTCCTGTTTTCTTTGTCGGTTTTTATTTCCCTTTTCACTTTGGAGTACAAACTGCACGTACGCTCGCGTCGGGACGCGCAATAGCGACAGCGACGACAACGACCACGGCCGAGTGAATGGAATCGCTTTTGCGCTTTCGTCGTTTCACGCAACGCACGTGCCAAGGGAGCAACACGTGATGAGACACAGCGCTAGGCGACCAAGTTGCAGCAATTGCACCCCGACTCACCTCTACCCGCTCACCCTATCTACCTACAGTTCACGTAATAATCTAGCCAATCTGTGCTACAACTGTGAATTTCAAGCGAGTCTAACTGCATACATATATACATACATACATACATACGTACATATATACATACATATATATATATATATATATATATGTGTCGCTTATGCCGGTGCCGTTGCTCGCTCAGCATAACAAGCATCGGCACGACAATCACGTCGAGATCTGCTCGTTGTGATCTCACGATGTAACTATGTATAATCATATTTGTTACAGTATATCTACGATCGTATCGTATAACAGGATGCTAACTGTACAATGTGTCCTATGGCAATATTGATTGCACTTGTGTATGTCTCAGGCAGTGTTGGGCGCGTGGAGATGATCGTCGAATTATAACGATAACCGGATAAAAGCGATAGAAATTAGACCGCGAGTAATTCTGTTAATCCGTTCGATCGTCGGTAATCGACGAGTAAGAAAAACAAAGACAGCCGGAGACAATTGATCGCGACTGAGAAATTCGGCTTTCGTTGCGATCGATCGCGGGAGAAAATGGCGCGACGACGATCGATCGCGCGGCACCCAACGCTGCTTCTTCAGCAAAGGCGAAAGCCGAGCGACAGTTCGAACGAGATGAGCGGTATCGTGCATGACGATCTGATAACTGTTGTACTGTGTATGTTAGAGACGAATACGACGCTCGTGGTTCGATCGGCAGCGGGCCCCTGAAATGAGCTTCGGCCGGGAGCCGATCGAAGGGGGTAGACTTTACACACACACTTCGAGGAGGATCATCAGTCGATCGCGCGCTCTTCGGGGGCGTCCTACCCGGCGCCCTGCTAACACATCGGTTTAATACAGTGCACGTTGACCCCACACGAGTCGTCCCAGGACCAAAAGTGAAGAAACGCACGTTCCTCGCGTCGGGCCGACTTCAGGACACGCGACTTTTTAACCCTTTCATCCGTGGTTCAGCGATCTCTCACCCGATCCCCTTGCCTGTCGTAGCCGACAGCCCGGAGCGCACGGAGGAAATATTGTAGTAAAAATTATCGCAAAATTCTCTAATGTTGGGCCATATAATTATAATGTGTGTTGTAATCTTTAGCGATGTATATTTCGTTGTGCACGCATGGAAAAAAAAAGGTTTAGTTGAATTTACCAGATAGTGAACAAACCAAACGTATTGTGGTTGACGGAAACGGAATTTCTGGTTCTTATGGCCCAAATTCGGTTCTTTTAACCAGAAATTCTGTTTCTTTCAACCAAACTTGATTTGGTCCACTCACTGTCTCGTCAATTCGACCAAACATTTTTTTCCTGTGCATTATTAAAGATTACGACACACATAATAATTCCGGCATGATTCGGCATTAGACAATTTTGTGGTAATTTTCACTACAATATTTTCCCTGTATGATCACAATTTTTCGATCCCTGCTCCACGGCAGCGGGGTGGCGAAATTGCGATCATCGGTCGGTCGGGAACCTTTGTTTTTCTCCTCGCGCATATCTTCACCCCTCCAATTCACGACAAGTGGTGGCTTGTATCAGAGAGTGCCATTCGCGGGCAAAGGGTTAAAGTCCTCGCGTTCCTGCGGCCTCGACGCCGAAAGTCTCGCTCGGTAATCGACTGACGATCCCCTCGCAATGGCTGGCCTGTGTTAACGTGTCACCATCGTGCCCTTTCGCCCCCTCGCCGTGCTCCCTGCCCGTCACACCGAGTCCTGTCCCGCAGCTTCTTCCCCTGTGACCTCTGTAATCCGTTGATAATTGTGAGGAACCGGCGGGTCACGTGGCTGTGTTAATGTGTTGCAGGGGGGGTGGGACGCAATCGGAAGCACGTTGGCGATACAACCGGTCAGGTGTTGATGCAGGGCGCGGGGCGTTTTCCGTGCCGAATCTGCGGAAACGTTTACAGGCACCTCGCTTCGCTGACCCAGCACCTCGAAGTGCATCGCAACCAGACGACCTGCATCCTCTGCCACACCACTCTCAGTCGTAGAACCGATCTGCGCCGTCACATGCGCCTGAAACACCAAATGCTTTGGCCGAGAACGATGCACAGGCAGCGCAGCCCGAAAAACGAATTGGACTCGTAGAGAGAGAGAGAGAGAGAGAGAGAACATGCGCCGACCGCGTAGCCGCGATATACGCGATGTGCAATGACGAGGCCGCAATCATTGAGCATCCGGGTGACATCGCTTCTTGCCGTGCCTTGCCGCGGAGGCGTATTTCGCGGTGCGTTCGCGCTTGCACGAGAGTTTATCGTTTTATAGGACCGATCGCGGCGATGGGCTCGTCATCTTAATTCCGCCGTCTTTTGGATCTCTCTCTTCCACGTCGTGAGCTCGAGGAGCTTTTCATTGAACAATTCCGTCGTGAACGATTGAACTTTGTCCCGTTTGTTGACGGAAAGAAGCGATCTATGTTCTGGTTGCTGGTAATTTAACGTTCAAACATGTCGATTATTTTTGTTCCATGAACACTTGTATTTTCTAGTTTCAGATTGAAGAAAAAGAGAGAAGAAGAATATTGCGGCATCGCCGCGCGTGTCATTTTTGTAGAAACGGACAAAGTTCGAGTAACTCGGTTTATAAACGGCGTTAAGGT